AGGATCCCTCCGGACTCAAAAATCTTCGGAAAACAAAAGCAGAACTGATTGCCTGTAAAGCACAGCCCCTGAGGGCCCAGCCCACAAAGGCTGCCGCAGCCACTGTCCCAGGGACCACATCGTGCCTGGATTCATGGTTAGCTGGGCGGAAGGAAAAGCACCCGCCAATTGGCTGTGACCACAGAGGTCAACCACACGTACATGTGGTAGGACCGGCACAATAAAAGCAACAGGAGGCAGGGAGCAAAAAGGCTGCGGTGGAAAGCGGTGGGAAGCTGGGTGTGATTAGAAGTGGCGATGGCAGTTGGGAGCAGCGGACACTGCGGCGGAGAAGCAAGTAGATGATGAAGCGACAGATACCAGCTCTGTGGTCTGTGGGGTGGCAACAGTTCTCTCTGTGTCTCTGTCTCTTCCTCTTCCTCTTCCTCCCTCCCTCCTTCCTTCTCTCCCTGCCCTCCCCCCCCACCTCCCCAGGTTTGTGCCCTGCCTTGAGGGCATGGGTCTGCAGCTGCCAGGGGACTCAGCTGAGGGGAACTCAGGGGCAGCTTACCTGACCTGACCGCCTCCACAACTTCCTGCCAGAGGCTGCCATTCAAGTGCCTACAGGGACCAGGCAGGTAATGTGAATGTGCAAAGCAGGGCAGGTGTCAGGCATAGAGAGAGGTAGGGACCATGACAAATTGGAAGAGTATACCCCCTCGAAGGCATCCAAATGTACATTTCTTAGGATACCATGTAAGTTAAATGAGACATGTATTGGGGCCAAATATGGCCCACAGGCGCCCTGCCTATACCCTCTGGGCTCCACAGGTGTGTGTACAACACTCAGGGAGACTAAAGACGGGCATGGTGGCCCTGAGTGGCCAACATGTTAGTTAAGCTCTTTCAGGCGACCAGGACCCAGTGTGACCCGAGGGGCAATAGTGGGCACATCTGGGGAATAAGCTAGGTGACATGGCTTCACTAATCACAGAGAACGGCCAGGGATCAGTCAGGATCACAGCACCTCCTGTGGCTCCACAGAACTTTAGAAGGCCAGCGGGGGAGGGGCCTGGCCATCTATTTTTCTCTTAGTAGCAGCCCTGGTGGCTCCCTGCCCTAGAGTTATGATTCTCCTGTCGTTACACTCTTTGACTTCCCTCTTCTCTATCTCTCGGTTTCTGCTTATTCCTGACTTTTATTGATGCATATCAACTGCTTATCCATGACTTGTCTTGCCTTATGGCTTCTGCATTCTTGTATCACTCAACTCCTGTCTCCTAGGCGAGCCAGTGGACATCTACACAGTGCCATTGCTGGGGAGAGTATGCATGCCTAACCACCTCATAGGCTACTCACTGACTCATGGATGGGTGTTTCGGTGAGTAGCTTTGGCCTGAAAATCACAGTCACCTGGCACGAAGCCTGGGACTCATTTGTAAAGAACCAATAGTGCCTTTCCTTGGAAGGGGCTGTGGGCATAGCAGGTGCTGGGAGTGACATGTCCATACCACCAAGATATCTGAAACTGGATTCAGGCTACTCTCTTTATGAAGGCAGGGGAAAATCAGTTGGCATAGACAAAGAAATCAAACGTAACTGTCAGGTAGAAGGGAAGTGAGGCTGCTCAAACTAGTCTTCTTTCTGTAGCAGTTAAGGTTGTATTTGCAGATAACAGAATACCCAATTAAGAGTAGCTTACGGAAGTACAGAGGTAGGTGGTTATTGGTATTGGCTCAGCAGCTCTGTGATATGAGGGCAGCCATCTCTGAGATTCATTTGGCTTGTGCCTCGTGGTTACAAGATTGCTGCTGCAGAGCCAACATTGCCATCTGTGTTCAAGGAAGGAAGAATGGGAGAAGGCCCTTGACAGCAGAAAGTTTCCCTTTTATCAGGAGAGCAGAAGCTTTGAAAGAACCCACCCACGTCCACCGTAGACTCTCCCCTTAACATCTCATTGGCCTGGACAGTGCCACCCTAGCTGCAAGGCAGGCTGGGAAATGAAATCAAATACCTACCACTCCAACTATACTGACAGCATCTTGCTTCTTGTGCATAGGAATTTTCTCATGTTGTGTGCGTACCTACTAGTATATATTTCTGGTCCAATGTACCATACAGCATTGGGTGCCTTAGGCAGGAAGAGTGAGGTAACAACAAAACAAAAAAACATGTAGAAAAGGTGTAGGTGTAAATACCAACTCCATCATTTACTGACTCTGTAATGTGAAAGCAGTTGGCCTTCCTGAATGTCATTCTCCTGGTAGGTAGAAGGGGATACTAGATACCACCCTTGCAGGGCTGTCGTAAAGACTGAATATGATAGTGTATTTATAGCTCCTGGTCCTAGAGAGATACCCGATGTGATTACTATTTTATTGTGGTGTGTTGTCATCTGTTGGATGGGCACATGGTAGGTAGATGCATAGCAGGAAGCAGTACAGCTTGAAGGTAAAAAGCATAGACCTCAAAATCAGGCTGTTAAGCCCAAACCCATCCTCTACCATTAATTAGCTGTGTGACCTCTGAGAAATTACTCAGCCTCTCTGAGCTCAGTTCCCCTCTCTGTAAACTGGAAATCATACTAGAACATATCTCAGAGGGGTACATTTGGAAGCAAAAATGAGATAGTGCACACGAAGCACTCGGCACTGTGCTGCCACAAGGCACACAGGTGGTAAGTGTTGGCTATTATTAATATTATTTTTTTCCTCCCTGAGCCCAGAACTAAAACCTATTGAACCAGAAGAGCAAGTGACTTCCTGTTGAAACTCTTTTAAAACCAAGTAGTCCTCAATCCTCTAAAGGTCACAACTATTAGAGCTGGAAACAGCCCCATACATGAAAACTGCCCTTGCCCTACCTGGTTTGGCTTAGTGAATAGCGCTCCAGTCTGAGGACTGAAGGGTCCCGGGTTCGATTCTGGTCAAGGGCACATGCCTGGGTTGTGGGCTCAATCCCCAGTGGGGGGTGTGCAGGAGGCAGCCGATCAATGATTCTCTCTCATCATTGATGTTTCTATCTCTCCCTTCCCTTTCTCTGTGAAATCAATAATAATAATAAAAAAACATATTAAGAAAAAGAAAAGAGAAAACTGCCCTTACCTCCCTCACAGGGTCCCTGGGAATGTCATATGATGTACCAGAGGCAGAAACGTTTGAACTCTATAAAATGCTGTACAAATCATTATCTAATGGTCAGCCCCCAGCACAAACACCAACTGTGAGCAGAAAAGGTGGGAACAAAAATTTTTTCAAGTTGATGAATTCTTTTAATATTCTAGAAAGTGGACTCTCCCCAAGATGGTTTTCATTCCTGCCCAAGGCCCACAGTTGGGACACCAGGCCTCTGGTCTCTTACTAAATCACTGATAAAACAGTCAGGCCTGCCTTTAAGGATACATTAAAAATTATGTTTTCAGAGAGAACAATAGAAGAACAGACAGTGTTGTCAGTTTGACATTCCGGGCTAGAATCTTTTCAGGCTGCTGATGTCTATATGCAAACAATACATTTAGAAACCAAATGGGTGCCTCATGAGTTTCTTTCTTCTCCCCAATTTGCATAGAGGAGAGGCCAGTAGAAAGTGTAGTGGCAATCACATTTCAGTGGCAATGAAACAATGAGGCGTGTTTTGATGGTGGATGGGTGCTTAAATAATCATGAAAGCAGCAGCTGGCTCCTTTCTCTTTCATGCAATTAGGAGCTATTTTTCCTGCGAGGAACACTCACAGGCAATCATACCTGACTGCCCGTTTCCATGGTTCTGTCTGAAAGATGGACTTCTCGTCCAATGCCATTTAAAAGAAGAAACAGCATGTTTATTTCTCTGTGTCCGGATGACATGACCTCAGAGAGATGTTGCCGGCTTGGAGCAGAAATCTTACTTCCTCCCCACCGCGTAGGTGAGGGCTGTTCCTTCTAGGGATTGGAGAGGATTGTGCCAGGTGAGGTACGTGCCCAGCAGAGCACAAACAAAGGCTGTTGGTGGGAAGGATGAGAGAAAGTGAGTATTAGGGCAAATAGGGCCTGAGTTGCCACATGCGAGCGGCTCTGGGAAGAGAAAAGCTCTGTAAACAATCCGCTGGCAGACAGTTTCATGCTTTGAACAATAGGAACAGCCCATGTGCAGGAACCACCCAGCGGGCTGACTACAGATCTCACTTCCGCCAAAGGTTCTGGCAGCCTGGGGAGGAAGGGGAGAGAAGGAGGAAGACTTGGAAATACAGCCACAGCCTTCCACCCACCCCTGCGGTGCCAGGGGAAGGGGCCCTGTCGCAGAAGGGAGCCTCGCTGGTGATTGGAGCCAGCGTATTTTTCAGACTTAAGACCGTTCCCCAATTGACTCAGAGCCCATAGTGGTCACCAGGTCTTCCGGGGCATTTAGAAGATTCGCCATCTGTAGAGTGGTGTATGGTTTACACACTGTTTTCACTTAAGATGTTGTGTGTTTTTGCCTCCTTGAGGGTAAGAATGGATGTGGAAGCGATTTCCCTGGGAAGAGTAGTCAGAGAATAAGCATCAGCATCAGCATAAGCAGCAGCATCACAGCTCAAGTGTAGTGATCATTTACCAGACTTATTTTCTGAATTCTCATATTTAATTCTCACAACCGCTTTCTAAGGGAGGTGCTATTCTCATCCCCAGTTTGCAGATGACAAAAGAGAGAGGCTCAGAGAGGTTAAGAGAATTGCCCAGGTCACGCCACTAGGACGTGGCAGAGCCCAGGCTCCACGCCAGCTGAGGCAAAGCCTGCAGGCTTCCAAGTCCCTGTGATACGCTGCACGGTCATATCACAGGGAGAGACATTCAACAGGCATAAGAGGCTACTGTGTGTCAATAGCTCTAGACACTGGGGATGCATTCATTCATTCACTCAACAAGTATTTCCTAGTATTCACTATGTAACAGGCACTGTTTTGTGCTTGGAGTACAGCAGTGAGCCAAGCTCTCTGCCCTCCTGAAGCTTATATCCTACCGGGGCAGACAGCACAGCACACAGTATGTTTCAGGAAACTGTCGTACATTAGAAAGTGATAAGCTTTATGGAAAAAATAAACCACAGGGCACAGTAAAGAGTACCAGGAGAGCTGGAGTGGGGGACAGAATGCGCTTGTAAATAAGGTGGGCAGGGGAGGTCTCCGTGAGAAGGTGACATTTAAGTACAAACATTAAGGAAATGAGAGAAGCAATGGTGCCTTTACATAGGAAACAGCAGTCAAGGCAGAGGGAATGGACAACGCATGGTGTGTTCAAAGAACAGTGAGAAGGCAGCGTGGCCAGAACAGTGACCACGGTGCAGAGCAACAGTGTCACATGTGGGACCCAGCCACCGCGGGCCTCCGGGGCCTTCAGACAGACACTGGCTTTCGCTCTGAGTCAGACAGAGAGCCCTGCCAGGCGCCGGGCAGAGGACCAGCATGTTTTGATGTCCGTGTTTAAGCACAGCCCTGGCTGCTGTTTGAAGAAGGAGCCCCACGCGGGTAAGGGGGAGGCAGGGAGGTCAGTCAGGAGGCCCCTGCAGTGATCCAGGTAACAGGCGACGCTCACTCGGCCTGAGATGGTGAGGAGCCCGATGCTGCAGGTTAACCAGATCATTAGACCAACTGAAACCTGGTGAAAAGAAAGCAGTTTCTGTAAAAGGGAAACATTACATAGGAACTTGTGAAGGTGATTTTAAAAACCGAGAAATGGCACCAGCTAGGAATGAACTATGCTTAGGATGACCCCACAGAAAGCATGGCAATTGTAAAAGTAGAACACATAATACAGTCTTTGTTTTTTTTATATCGTTAAGTTCAATGTATTCATGCAAATAAGCAAACCTCGCTAGCAAAGCCACTTCGCTTATGACTGCATCCTCATGATGGTGCTGTGTGCAGCCCATAGAAAGAGTAATAGTATTTTAGGAACCATTGTTTCTTTGTTTTCCAAGCTGAACTTGAGTTATTTTAATCTGTTGGGAAATGCAAAGAAAAGGAGAAAAGGAAGCAAAAGAATGCGTGTATTATTCAACGGTCCCTGCTCCTGTGACCGAGGACAGCTTGTGGCTATGATAATTCAGAGGAGGTTGGTTTTCTTCTTTTCTTATAGACCTCACCTACAGGACACCACGCTGGGCAGCAGGAGTGGCCAGCTGGGTTTGATTAGCATCTCTAGCTCCTGAGAGGAGGGCGAGTTGTCCCTGGTGAGGAAGGCAATTCATCCTCTCTGAATAAAGCAAAGGAAGTGTTTTGCTGTTAAGACGAACTGGACCATCCTTTGATCTTGTACGACAGGTGAGTGTAGGAGGGATGAGCATCAATGATACTTCCTGATGGACTCTGTGCCAGCACTCTGCTCATATTCACCTTTGTACCCAGCTTACAGTCTGTGACTTCAGCCTGACATTGTTCTTTATTGAGGTGCACACCGTCTTTAGTGCTCACAGTTGGATGACGATCTTGCTTTCTGCTCAGCTACATGCTTAATGGACTGAGAGTAAGGGACCATTATTCTCAGTGGAACTTGCTCTAAAAAGTGGACCCTGATGCTGGATTCAGTTCTGAGCATGACAAGCTAGCCTGGAAGATCCATACACTCCTGCTTGCTGGGTGGCACATTGTGCAGCCAATATCAGACTGCAGGTTAAGAATGCAAAATGCGCCTGACCGGCGTGGCTCAGTGGTTGAATGTCCACCTATGAGCCAGGAGGTCAAAGGGTTGCTTCCCAGTCAGGGCACATGCGGCTCGATTCCCAGTGGGGGCGTGCAGGAGGCAGCCCATCAATGATTCTCTCTCATCATTGATGTTTCTATCTCTCTCTCCTTATACCCTTCCTCTCTGAAATCAATAAAAATATATTTTTAAAAATGCAAAATGCAAGTTTCCCTCAAGGAAACTATTATGGATAAATGTCTAAGCTCACTCTCTTCAAAATATGTTTAAACCTTCAAGACATTCTTATTCATTGGGATCACTGTTTCTGGAAGTTCTAGCCACTAAAAGATGAGAAAATGAAATAAGTAAACAATACTGTTGCTACTTGTGGGAATTAACTAGAAATTAATTAATCAGTAAGGAGCCACTGCTAAAAATCACATTATACATCTTTGAGGAAAAGCTCAGAGGAGATCACCCCTGGAGGGGCAGAGCCTCAGATGTCAACTTGCTCACCTAAGGCAAAAGGAATATTAAGTCTTACACTGAACTTTGTCTACACTCCAAGGTGAGATCAGAAGAAAGGAAAAGTTTGTGAATAAACACGGAGAGCTGAAAACAAAGGCTTCCTTATTTTTCACCATCTCAAAAAGAAATCAGACTTTCCAGACCAAGGATCACTACTATAAGAATCTTGGATATATAGTCAAATTTCTCACATTTTTGACACTCTGATGATTCCTCATATCCCTCCCCCTATTACTACACACACACACACACACACACACACACACACACACACACACACATTCATGATAAAACTTTAATAAGAAAAGGGCCTATGAGTTTGCTTTCAGGAACAATAGTAATAAGATCCATTCTATCTTACCACCAGAATGTACCCGAAACTCATCTTGGAAGTACAGATAGGTCCAGCACAAGAGAATGGCTGGGGAGACAGGGATGATGGCCTGAATCTTAGAGGTCATCTCAAAGAATTTTAGAATAATTTTTCTTTTGATTTCAAAATATCTCCCTCAGAGCTCTCAGTACATGGATCTTTATAAGTGTGTCTGAATCTAAGAAGATTGCTTCATGGCAAGGCATACATTTTCCCTGTTGCCATGGAAACAGCACTGTGCTCATGTGTCAGGAGCTCTCTCACATACACACATGCATACTGTATATCAATATGTTCTCAGGGAAATGCCCTTTATGCTTTCTTTATACTAAGAAAGACATTCAGAGTGCAAATTTTACTAATTCAAACCATCTAATTGTTATCATCTCCTTTGTTGGCATTAAAAATTCTGATTTTAGGTTTTTCTTCAACATAATCTCTGCTGGAAGTGAAATAACCTATTATTTGCCCTATCACCTACCCCAGCCTTTCTCCCACTCCTTAAAGGAACATAGTGTACATCCCAATATATTTAATGTATTATCTTAAAAATAAACCTATTTTGGATGCTACTGAATTTCTTTGATGGGTATAATGATGCCTTTCATGTATTTTATTTCCTTAAATATTCTCTATCCAAAATATTTTTTTTAACTGGCAAAAGGGCAATTCCTTGAAAGAATGTCGACGAATCACACGTTCATGTGAGTAGGGGACTATAGCTGTCTGGTTTCGTTTCCAATCTATGCAAACTTGAAAAGAAACTAAAGAAAGTCTGAGGCAGACAAGTCATTTATTTTGACAAGGATTCCTGGGCACCTACCCTCGGACTGTATATGACCCAGATCCCTTGAGAGCTGACTGTGATCATGTGGAGAAGCTCATGGCCAACCACAAGGCTAGTGGATGCAGGTGGTGCATGAGAGTCAGGAAACTGGCCTGGGTTTCACCACCAACTGTGGGCTTTCACTTCCACTGAATTAGGCTGGGGAATCCTAACCTGTAAAATGAGCAACTAGAACTAGACCATCACCCAGCGTCAAGATGCCATGGCTGGTCGGGTTGGTGTGGCTCAGTGTTTGAGCATCAACCCACGGACCAGGAGGTGACCAGGGATTCCCTGTCAGGGCATATGCTGGGGTTTCAGGCTTCATTCCCAGTGGGGGTGTGCAGGAGGCAGCTGACAGATGATTCTCTCACCATTGATATTTCTATCTCCCTCTCCCTTCCTGTCTTCTGAAATCAAGAAGGAAAAAAAAATATTTAAAAAAATGATGCCATGGCTGTCCTTCAGCTTCACCGCCAGGCGCAATGGAGGTACGTGGGAAAATTGCACGGATGGGTGCAAAAGAGTGAGACCAGGCCGCCTTCTTACACCGCACAAACTCAGACTCGTCGATTCGAGTCCAAAGGATTCTCTTCTCCAGACAGTGAAGGTGGTGCAGTGGGTGCTGTGCGCATCCTTCACGTGCGGTTCGCCCTCCTGAGCCCGCCAGCTCTACTTCCATCGGGCCCTTTCGTGCGTCACGTCCAGGTTAAAAACAAGCAAGTATTAAGAAACGAGCAAGGCGGAGGAAGTCTCATTTAAACAGTTCAGGCGGCTACCTTGAGACCAGAAATGCTGCAGCACAAGGAACTTCCTTCCGCAAACGGTGTCCCTGGTAGAATCACAGAGGACACGTCATGCTGCGTCTACGTCATCCAACCCTCTTAGGTAAGAGGGACTGGAGGGAGGCGGCTGGTGATGCCCCTGGAGACAGTCTGGGGGCGGGGCCACGTTTGGAGGGAAATTTTCCTTCCACCTTCTGCCAAGGTCGCGTTTCTGCTCTGTGGCCTCTTGGCTGCGAGAGGAGTGCAGCTGGTGCAGGTGGGAGGAACTCAGCTCGGCGTCTTGCTCCTGGCTTCAGGATGCTTCCAGCCCCCCTCGCCAGGCTCAGGTCCCCTTCCAGCCCCAAAGGGCAAGTCAAACCGGGTCTGATCTACAGCCAACGAGAAAAAGAAGAGCAAAGGTGTTGTCTGTGTGTCTGTGTGTGTGTCTGTGTGAGTGTGTGTGTGTGTGTCTGTGTGTGTGTCTGTGTGAGTGTGCATGTTGTTGCCAGCTGTTCTTTTCTCTGGGATAATGTCCTTCCTATGTCGGTGGAAATTGGCGTTTTGAATGTACATAACATGTGCTCATCTATAAGTTTCCAAAGTCCGCTGGAAACCCTGAGCTGAAGGACAGCCCTGTTCTTGTTTCCTAGATCTCCTGTGACCTGGTTTTGCCCGTCAATGATTAATTCACTTTGACCGGGAGAGATAATGCCGAGCTTTGGAAATGTACCCAGTTTCTTAAGTGAAAGGACACTAGCATTTACCAAGCATTATACTTTGTGCCAGAAACACGTGGTGCTTTTCATATCTATGATTGCGCTACAATCTTAGTACCACGATGAAATATGATGCCCATTTAAAATAAGAGAAATCTGAAGCTCAGAGAAGACAAGTCACTTGAGCAGGTTCCTGAGTTGTTAACCAGCCAAGTCTGGATTTGAACTGAGTTTGAGCCCAAAGTCCACCGTCTTTTAACCCCACTAGTCTATTCCCAGAATGAAACCACAAGACACGTATTTGAATGGGGGGTATACTTTTGATGTCCACAGAGGGCTATTTGGGGACTGGCATTTTAATCCTGAGACCTAAAAAGAAATCATGAAAAGGCTTTAGGGGCACAGAGACTCACTGTTATCAGAAACAATCCTGGCTTGACCAGGCCTGGTTAATCCATGACACCAGGGCCTCTTCCTGTCTGTCAAGTGTGTGAGGGAACCTGAAGGGGTCCCAAGGCCAGGGACCAAGGGAGACCCCAGTGCCCAAGTTACACTGTGGCCCTGAGTGCATTCCAGAGCTAGACATAAAATATTCTGGGTGATTTCTCTTTTGGTATCATCTATCCTTGATTCTCCCTCTGTCCCTACGAATGATCGATGTTGACTGGATTCATGACATAGAAACAAACAACTTATTTGCCCTCCAGGGACATGACCAGGAATTGCCCTTGTATATATTTAATGATACACGGGCCAGTGTTTATTCCTATATCAGATGCCTTGTTTCATCTGTGATTAAATTCTATAAAAAGGACAAAGAAAAGCTAATGTTCTGAATTTTCAAAATGTTAAGGTTAAGAAATCAGTTCAAGAGAAGGCAAACCCACTCTGGCTGGTTTGGCTCAGTGGATATAGTGTCAGCCTGCAGACTGAAGGATCCCGGGTGCGATTCCGGTCAAGGGTACATGCCCTGGTTGCAGGCTCAATCCTCAGTAGGGGGCGTGCAGAGGACAGCCGATCAATGATTCTCTCTCATCATTGGTGTTTCTATCTCTCTCTCCCTTCCTCTTTGAAATAAAGAAATAAAAATATATTTTTTTAAAAAGAGAAGGCAAACCCTTTGGGCAGAACAACCAAAAGTCTCTATACCCCTGGTTTGCAACCCTTAGTAAAAAATGTGGAGTCCTGGCCCTCATGCCTAACTGTTTCTATTTGGTAGGTCTTGGGTGGGACCCTGGCATCAATGTTTAAAAAACAAACCAGGGAATTCAGTGCAGGCAAAAAAAATCTAAGGTACACACATTGGGAACCAGTTCTAAGATACATGTCATTCAAGGGGGATAGAATCATTTATTTGCTAGATGGAGGTTTACCCTTTATTATTTTTCTTTTCAATGAATAGAGATAAAGGACAAGCACTTTTTGACTCTAATGCTGAAAGGAAACTGCATAAGCCGCCAAATAATAACTCCTTTTCTGCATGTGTGTCCATATTTTTTAAAATGGGCCAAACAGAAGAATCCTTAGCTGTAGAAAATTCCAGAAGGTTGAGGTGGGGAGTGATAACCAAGGAATGCTAAGGACCCAAGAAAAGACACCCTCACACAAACCCTTCATAAGAACAAGAACAAGGAATGTGCTAGGCCCGTCAGCATGAAGGCCACAGATCTGGGCTGAGCAGTCACCCTAATTCAAAAGTCCTTTGGAATTTCCAGCTGGTTCTGTTTTTATCAAGTGTACAAGTCAGCCTGTCTTGCAAATGCTGCACGAAAATGCCAACGTCCTGGCTGGCTGCCATGCTTCTCCAAGGTCACACACACCGTGAGTAGGGCAGTCTTCATGGGTGTTCGTGGGCAGGGAGCCGTTCTCCTTGATCAGCACCTGGGCTGAACCAGTTGTCAAATATACTGAACGTCTCGTCCCTAGCTGTCCCAGCACCTCTTGGGCAAGTTGTGACATAGAAGGTCGCAAAGAGCAAAGGGGGGGTGCCTTGAAGGACAGCTGGAACCTGAGGCAAGGTGGCAGGAGGAAGAGCAGGGCATACAGCTAAAAATACTCAAAATACTGTTCCCAACTAATGGGAAAACTAGGCCAGGGATGGGAAAGTTTCTTCAGGAGACTCAAGGCTGAAAGTCAGGTAGTGGCTCCCTGGAGTCCTGAGCTGAATCGGAGTCAGAGATCACAATCTCAGCAGTGATCATCTACCGTGATTGATTACTGATGTCTGCCAAGGGTTCAACAAGGGGTGTGTGTGCATGTGTGCATATGTGTGTGTTTGTGTCTGAGAGAGAGAGAGAGAGAGATGCTCTAGTTGACATGGAGCTACATTTTATTTTTAAATTTATCTTTATTGTTGAAAGTATTACAGTTGTCCCCTTTGGGGTTTTTTTTCCCATTGACCCCCCTCCTCCCCAGATCCGCCCTTCTCCAGCCTTCACCACATTATTGTCTGTGTCCATAGGCTATGCATATATGCATTTAAGTTCCCGGGTTAATCTCCCCCCCTCCCCACCTTCCCATCCCCACCTTCCCTCATGAAATTCATTAGTCTGTTCATGGTTCTGTGTCTCTGGATCTATTTTGTTCATCAGTTTATTTTGTTCATTAGATTGACATGGAGCTACATTTTAAATCTTTGGCCTTTACTGATCTTTCTTTTCAAAGACACACAATAGCTTTTTTCTTTCTCCTCATGAATATACATGGCCATCTACATGCTGCTTGAATAAGAGATTGATAGTAGTTTAGGCAGAATCTCTCAGAGGTATCTGGGCTAATGAGCAGTAAATGCCACTCAACATATGTCTCTAAAAGCTATGAACAGGGAAATCCCAGAACTTGGCTTTCCCTGTACAGTTCCTTATTCTCTTTGCAACAGATGTCCAACGCATCAGGTTCTCCCATGCCCTGGAACCAACTGTCACCCTCAGATCCCCTGAAGTGGATCATGACTGTGGTTAGATTTACAACATCTGTCCCTGGACTTCACATAGAACAAAGACATGGTAGATTAATACAAGGTATGACTGAAATCACCAGCACTTTCCATCATAACTGAGCTCTAGAAATATCTGTACCACTGGATGGTGTTGACATTCCCGATGTGTCCCGCTGAATGGATGGGAAATGGTACAGAGTGGGCACTCACCTTGCTTCTTTATTGCTCCCCTGCCTGGCTTTTGGCCATTTTTTATAAAATCACCTTTCCTTCCATATTAAATCCTCTTGTCTTCAGGGACACCCTTCTCTTTAGAAGGTGTGTTTTCATTGGAAAACGCCCAAATATTCTGACACCAAAGAGTTTGCTTTGCAGTTTGACCTGAAAGTTTTGTGCTGTGGGCTTTTTGGGGGTTGGTGTACTTGTGGTACTCGGTTGTCTTAGTCAGGGTTCTCCAGAGAAATAGAACTGATAGGATATATGAAGAGATATCTTTATCTGTATATCTTTATCTATCTACCTACCTTTATATATCAAGACAGTATATAGGTCATTATACTGTATATTGAGAGGTCCCACAATCTGTCGTCTGCAATTTGGAGAAGTAGCAAAGCTGGTGGTGTAGTTCAGTATGAGTCTGAAGGCTAAAGAACTAGGCAGTGATGTCTAAGGGCAGAAGATGATGTCCCAGCTTCACCTTTTTGTTCTACTCAGTTCCTCAATGTATTGGATGATGCTCACCTGCATGGGGAGGTGGAGGGGGGGGAGAGACACATACACATCTTCTTTACTCAGCATACTGATTCAAATGCTAATCTTCCAAAAACACCCCCAACAGACACACCTGGAAGTAATCTTACCAGTGGTCTGGGCATCCCTTAGCCCAGCCAAATTGAGACATAAAAGTAACCATCACCTGGGTTGAGAGCATAGAGCCTTAAAAATCATTAAGATTAAGAGAAATAACGGTATTTTTTAGTTTTAAAAAGAGCAGTGAGTGATTTGTTTGCTAATGCTAATTGTAGAAAAATGCCCCTGGGGAATCGTGGGGTGGGGTGGGGGTGGTGGATACAGAGGAAACAGCAGTAGGATGGAGGGAAGATAGCTTTTGGCCATTTAACATGTTTTCTATTAAGTGAATTGACAATTCTGTTTGTTGAGCCAAATCTGACTTCAGATCCTAACCCACCACTTATTAGCAGTGTGACCTTGGGCTAATTAATCTCTCTCAGTCTTGTCAATTGTAAAATGAAAGAAATACTAGGTTTATTTTCAAAGAATCAACTTTTGTTTTCATTGATTTTCATATGGTTGTTCTATTCTCTATTTAATTTATTTTTACTCTAATCTGTATTGTTTCCTTCTATGTGCTTTGGGTTTAGGGTGCTCTTCTTTTTCTAGTAGTTATGTTATTGACTTGATGTCTTTTTCCCTTTTTAATATAGGTGTTTACAGCTATAAAGTTCCCTCTAATCATTGTTTTCACTGTATCTCATAAGCTTTGGTATGCTGTGTTTTCATTTTCATTCCTCTCCAAGTATTTTCTAATTTCTCTTGTGATTTTCTTTGACTTACATCTTATTTACAAGTTCCCAAAATTTCCTTCTGTTCATCGATTTCAATTTCATTCCATAATGGGTCCAAGAAGACATTTTGTCACTTTAGTCTTTTAACATTTGTTTTATGTGAAAATTTGCTTTAAACTTGCTTTATAGCCTAGGATATTGTCAGTGTTGCAGAGTGTTCCATGTGCACTTGAGAAAAGTGTGTATTATGATCCGTTGAATGTTTTATAGATGTTTTTAAGTCCGGTTGGCTTATAGTGTTGTTCAAGTCTGGTTCCCTGTTGATCTTCTGTTTCGTTGTTCTATCTATTATTGAAAGTGTCATATTGAAGTCTCCAACTCTTATTGTTGAATCGTCGATTTCTTCCTTCATATCTGACAGTTTATGTTTGTTTCTGACACGTAAGTCTGCTCAGTCAGTTTAGTGGCCAGGTAATGATTAGACAGATATCCATCAGTTATGTGGCACCTGTTTAATCCCCTTTGTGGTACCACAAAAATGAAGAAATTTTTCTTAAATACTGGGACCCAATAAGTCTCCCAGCTTTGCAAAGGGTCCCTGCCTTCGACATCCAGCCAGACAACCCCGCTTTATCCTTCACTTCCTGTTGGTACACAGCTTCAAGGTTAGGTTGCATAGAGGTGAGAACTTAGGGCCTTCTCTGGTTTTTCCTGAGCACTCTCATAGCCCTGGACACTTGCTCAGCCCTATGTAGGCACATGGTCTGCTAGTTTCCCAGGAATATGTTTCAAAGTCCCTCATTCCCCAGGGTTTTCTTTTAAGCTTTTTGGTAAGTCTATTGTTTGCCAACTGGTATCCGTGGTCGTGGTCTCGGGTAGTTGTGCAATTAAACAATTGCCTCTGTTTGTTCTCAACAAAAGTCCCCAGGGAAAAGGCTTTTCACACTGAGCTAGCTCCAACTCAAGTCAAAGAAAGACCACATTGCCATTGCAATCTTCCAGAGAACTACCAGACAGGTCAAATCATGATAGTTCTCTGAAAACCAGGCTTTGGAAATGCTCTAGTCCTATTTTGCCTCCTCCAGTTTCACTGTGATTATGGGCTATTGATGTTGAAGACTACCACAGGGCTGAGGGAGGTGGGTGACGGGAACAGGGCAAATTGAGCTCACCGTTCTTAGTGAGATTCGACTGTCTTTCTTCAGGAAACCCTCACTGGATTGTCACAAGTCTTTGACTAATTTCCAGAGTTCTAAAACAATTTCATTCTGGCCATTTTTGTCCGTTTCCACATTGCTTTATGGAAGAGAGAATTTTTGGAGATTCTTACTCTGCCATTTTTACTGGCATTACTCCATGGGGTCTTTCTTGATGGGGTAAAAGAATGAGTGTTTTGAAAAAGTAGTGCTGAAGTTATACACTCTCAGAAGTGGAATGGTTTTGAGTAATGACAAGGTCCAGGGTAAGATCATGAGAATGGATAGCTGGAGTGATGTATAAGTGAATGACACTGCTGTGGGGGAGGGAAGCAGGCAATGGATTTTGAATCAGGCTGATGAGAGGATATCATGGCTTAAATGTCTGTCTCCTCCCCCAAAATTCATGTGTTGAAATCCTAATCCCCAAGATGATGGTATTTAGGAGGTGATTAGGTCATGAAGGTGCTGTTCTCATGACTGGGATTAGTGCCTTATAAAAGAGGCTCCAGAGAGCTCCCTAGCCTCTTCCACCATGTGTGGTTACAGTGACAAATGGCCTTCTAGAAAGAACTTCACCAGGCACCAAATCTACTGGTGTGTTATCTTGGTCTTCCCAGCCTCAGAACTGTGAGGAATAAATTTGTTGTTTATCAGACACCTAGTTGATGGTGTTTTGTTTTATCAGCCCAAACAGACTAAGACAGAAGGTGTCCAGCTGGATTTTTAAATCTTCCGAGATGATGATACTACTTGGGGGAGAAAGAGATGGCCCAAGTACCTAAATCCCCATGACTGTGGAGGAGTTCCTTGAGATTGATGGATGGTAGCAGAGTCAGTGTTTGAAATGTGAGGAATAAAAGTTATTCCATGCAGAGCCTGTATGATAAAAGCAATGGTAGAGATATAATGAAGGTATAAGATGACCAAGAGATTTTAAATGAGAGTTATGATAAGTATTTGGAATTTATACCAAGATTAAAGAGGAGAGCTGTTACCATTTTAACAAGTGTGTTCTGTCAGTAGGAACATTTGTGAATGCCAGAAAATTATTTTCACTTATCCCTTCATGCATCAGAAGGTGAAGGCAGGAATTGCAGCCCTTGCTAGTTGCATGTCCTCATGGAGTTGCCCTCTCTGTTCATTCTTCAAGGGAATCCCCTCTCCTTGAACTTTAAATCACCTGGTTTTCTCTCTAGCTTTATATTACAGTAGAGCCCACAAGTCTTTGCTGTTGGAGAGGACCCACCATGAGGACCACGTTGACCTGCATGTCTTTAGATCAATGTTTGTCAAGGCCTTGAGAATTCCGGGAGCCCCACAGCATCTTTGTCTTTGGAAAGTCACTGCTTCCTGCAGGCTCTGAGGGCCCTGATTCAGCCATCTTTGGTCTTACACAGAATCATGAATATTCATCCTATAAAATTATTTTAATTGATCTTTTCATAATAGCTAAGCTATAGTGGCCTATAACACTAATGCGCAAAAGCATTCTACACTGAAATGTTCTAACTGGACCATTACCAAGTTACGTCTGAGTACAAGCCAAGAAAAAAAGGCACTCTCTACATAAGGGCGTAAAGCCACCATTACTCTGGACAAGGAAAAGCACTTCAAGTTCCTCTCTCATGACTGAAAGTGAGACTCAGGAGACCTGGGGTAAATTCAGCTGCTTTTTCTTTAATGTTCTAATCACATGTTTATACCAGACTTAAACAGAATTAGGAAAATGAAGCAGGGAAACTGCTTCCCATCCAGTTGCTGTCACTCCCTCTCCTGCTGGCCGTTATTAACCCCCGGAAAGAGCGGTCTGCAGTTGCCTCCTGGTACTCATTTCCACACAGTCTTCAACATGCAGCACGCAGCCTGGCTTCCCTCTCCACCACTCTAAAAAGATAAGCAGTGATGGATGCTCTCCTGTCAAGTATGACGTCGGTGTTCATCATTCTCTACCTGTTGGAGAGTGCCGAATGAATGAATTGATCGTCACACCCCAAACCTTCTCCTCCTTCTGTCACCTTCTGGGATATCCTCTCTCCTATGTTTCCTCCTACAGCTCTGCCTCCCTCTAACCTCCCTGGTTCCTCCTCTTCCTTCTAGTATTATCTATAATAATAAAAGCACAATATGCTAATTAGACCAGACAGTCGAACAACCTTCCAGACATCATTCCGGATGTCCTTCCGGATGAAGCTGCAGTGGCGGGGGCTGAGGCAGAGGCGATTAGGGGCGATGACACAGGCAGGCAGAGGGGTTAGGGGCAACCAGGCAGGCAGGCGAGTGTTTAGGGGCAATGAGGCAGGCAGGCAAGCTGTTAGGAGCCAGCGGACCCCGAATTGCGAGAGGAATGTCCAACTGCCGGTTTAGACCCAATCCCTGCAGGCTGGTGCAGGCCGGGCTGAGAGACTAATAATAAAAGTGTAATATGCTAATTAGACCAGAGGTCCTTCTGGACGACCTTCTGGACAAAGCCAGAGCTGTGAGGGAAGCCTGGGTCCCGGGTGCCTGCTGGTGGCCAGAGAGAAGCCTGGGTCCCAGGTGCTGGAGGGAAGCTGGTGCTGGCAGCCGGGGGAAGAAAGGCCTACTCTTGCATGAATTTCGTGCATCAGGCCTCTAGTTACCTATAATGAAAATCTATATCTCCAATCTCCACCTGTGACTTCCATGCCTTGAGCTGTAATGTCAGCTGGACACTGACATCGACACCAGTATTTAGCAAATATCTCCAAGTCAACGTGCCTCAGACTGTACAAACTTTCCCCAAACTTGCTCTTCTTATCTTCCTCAGTCCCCATGTCCTCCAGCAGGGAAGTGCTGAGTCATTAAATATTCTCTCTCTCTCTCTCTCTCTCTCTCCCTCCCACCCCCTCTAATCCATTATATTTCTGACAAAAACATTTCTAGATGTCTCCCCTCTCCATCCCCACTGCCTTCCTAGCTATCTCCCTGATTGTAGGCAGCCCTCTCTTTCCAATCCACATTGCTACAGGAATTTCCTTGATAACACAAATCTGATCAGTGTCAAGCCTTAGAATTCTCCCAAAGGGAGGTCCCTGTTAGCCCGGAACAGTGTGTTTTATGTTGGGTGTTCTGTTATTCTGTTATTCCAGTTAGTGCATCCTTTTACTCTCAAAAGCCACCCATTTAAATGATGAATTACGTGGTCATCCTATCATGGCTAACAGCATAAAATCCACACTCTTTGACCTGGCTTACCATCTGGCCCCAGGTATAACTTTCTAGCTCCATCTTCTTCACTCTGGCCACCTGCCATTCCCCAAACATGCCAAGCTGTTTCCCATCTCATCAGCTGTTCTCTCTTCCTGAACACCGTCCGCCCCCCCCCCATTTCCCACTTCTCAACTCCCCCTTAACCTTCACTGCCAAGCCAAGATAGCACCTGTTCTGTGAAACATCCCATCCTGCCGCCCACAACCCCCAGATGCCCGCTATGATTCTACAGCGGCAATTTGTTCAAACCTCTGTTATGGGTTCTACTTTGAATCTGGTATGATACTTGACACATGGCAGGTCTTCAAAGTGTTTTTGAAAAAGAGGTTTTAAAGAAGCATGAAACCACGAGCATTTTCTCTGGCTCTCATTAGAATTAAGAGCTTTTATCCTCCATATGGGACTTGCTTGAGAAAATCCAACATGTCAGAGCCACGTTTATTTCATCTTCATCTGTAAAGGAATAAGGAGAATAATGGCTGCTGCCCAAACCTACCCATGTGACCTCCTGCTGTTGAAGCATAACATGTTGAAATAAAGAGTGAGATGAGCCTCCCCATCTTCTGTCATCTGTCCCCATAGCCTCGGGCCTGTGGAGGGTGGGGAAAGGAGATTCTGAGATCTGGCAGATGGCTAAATAGAGAATGTACCTATGGGAAGTTAGAATGAATTATCTCAATACAAATAAAACTAATTAGAAGAGTAACTATTTTTTAATATGCACACGGGTCAAATACTGGGCTAAGAATTTTACATGCCACTCCTTTATATAAAGCCCATCTTGTAAAATGGATATTGTGATTTCCCAGTTTACATTTGAGGAAGCTCAGAGAGGTTAGGTAATTTACCAAGGGCACAAAGCTAGTGAGTGGATTGGGGTGCATAATCAGAATACTAAAAATGCACATGTATGTGCGAGGGTCTCTATGAAGTATGCTGCTTGGTTCTCACAACCACTCTATGAGTTGAGATACTGTTATATCTCTATTATCAGATGGGGAAACCTTTAAGTAACCAGCCCAAGGTTACATAGCTAGTAAGAAACTGTGCCAGTCAGCTAATTCCAGAAACTACATGGCTGGTCATGACCTTCTCTGTCTTCCAGCTCATTCTCTGTTGCCAGCATCCATCCGATACTCTTCCCTTGCTCCTCAAAGTGTAGCCTGGAGACCAGTAGCATCGATATCACCTTGAAGTTTGTTAGAAAGAATCTTGAGCTCCACTCCAGCCCCAGGGAATCAGAATCTGTTTTGTAACAGACAGGGTCCTGGTCTAAACCAGTGGGTCTCAACCTTGTCTGCATGTTGAACTCCCCTGGGGAGCTTTAAAGATTCCTGATGCCTGGGCTCTGCTGAGAGCATTCTACTTTATTGTATGAGTGTCCTCTGGGTGCTGGGCTTTTAAAAGCTTCCCAGGGGATTCTGATGTGACAGCAGTCTGAAAACCACTGCTTTAAGCAAATACAGCCATTGGTTCCTTCCTTCCTTCCTCACTCGTTCTCCTTATGTGCACCTGACCTTGCTGAAGTACAAGCACAGCTTGCTGGGGAGATGGACAAATAATATATCTATATATATAAAAGCCTAATATGCAAAGTGTCCCTCGGGAGTTCGACCAACTGGGAGTTAGATCACTCACTATGACATGCGCTGACCACCAGGGGGAAGTCCAGAACAAAGGAAGGCCCCAGCCAGCAGCCACTAGGGACCCTACCCGTGCATGAATTTCGTGCACTGGGCCTCTAGTAGTAGAATAAGCATTATGAAAATCAGTACCCCAATGACCAGGAGAAATCCAGAGGTGGGCCTGATGTCCAAGTCTGCATGAAGGAATCAAGGCAGATTGCTCCCAGGAAGCCACGTTAATCTCAAGGATGAATGGGAGCTCTCTTGGATTTGTTAGCAGGATGGGGAGATCGTGTGGGGGACTTCTATGTTTACTACGAACCTGAGATTCATACAATTTTATGCTATAATATATTATAGAGATCATTTAATGAATCCAATGGTCTTCTAACTTCTTTGACTATTGCCCACATTCAGAGAAACATTTTATGTCTCATCCCAGAATATACATAAAGTTTCATGGAACATTTAGCATTTTCTTTCTTTCTTTCTTTCTTTCTTTCTTTCTTTCTTTCTTTCTTTCTTTCTTTCTTTCTTTCTTTCTTTCTTTCTTTCCTCACCGAGGATATGTTATTGATTTTATTTCCTCACCGAGGATATGTTTTCATTGATTTTAGAGAGAGAGGAAGGAAGAGACAGAGAGAGAGAGAGAGAGAGAGAGAGAGAGAAACATCAATATGAAAGAGAAACGTCAATTGACTGCCTTCCATTTGTGCCTCAACCGGGATAGAACCTGCAACCTAGGTATGTGCCCTGATTGGGAATCGAACCCACAACCCTCTGGTGTAGGGGATGACGCTCCTAACAACTGAGCCACCTGGCCTTGGTGGTGTTTAGCTTTTCATGGATAAAAAAGCAATAACTGCATTGTCCTAACTATTCTTGTTTCACTGTGAACACTTCATCACAGACTGGCGTAGGTCTGTAGACCCATGCCTGGAATTACTGTCCCAACAGACATAAACTTCTTCTGGAGGCTCTTCACTCTCCACATGAGGAATTCTGGATTCTTTATATATTGCCCGACAAGAAAGATAATTATTTTAAATCATAAAATATCCATTAAGCAGTTTAAAAAATTATACACGAAAGCCATTAGCTTGATTGCACTAAATATGAAAAACAAGATAGTTTTCTGTTATTCAGATTATCAAGCCATTGCCATTTCAAGTGTGCCTGTGAGTCACTATTATTCCAGTATTGTGACTTGAAGGTAAAAGACATGATTTCCCCTGCATAATGACTGAGTTTACAGAAATCCTAGTGGACATGGCCTGGCTTCTCAAAACTCTTGTTTCTCTGAAGCCCCCGTGTATCAAGCTAAGTCGATTTTCTGCTTGGTGGGGCTCAAATATTTTTTTAATTGTACTTTTTAAAAAAATCCTCACCCAAGGGTATGTTTTTCCTCATTGATTCTAGAGAGAGAGGAGGCGGGGGGCAGAGAGAGAGGGACAATGATCAGTTGCCTCCTGTATCCACCTCCACCAGGAATTGAACTCGCAACCTAGGTGTGTGCCCTGACTGGGAGACTGGGAATTGAACCCGCATTATGTTACCTCTGGTGCATGGGGCGACGCTCTAACCCAGGGGTCCTCAAACTACGGCCCGCGGGCCACATGCAAATACAAATATTGTATTTGTTCCCGTTTTGTTTTTTTACTTCAAAATAAGATATGTGCAGTGTGCATAGGAATTTGTTCATAGTTTTTTTTTAAACTATAGTCCGGCCCTCCAACGGTCTGAGGGACAGTGAACTGGCCCCCTGTTCAAAAAGTTTGAGGACCCCTGCTCTAACCAACTAAGCCACACCAGCCAGGGCTTAAGTTGTACATTTTAAGTTCTTTGTGAGCTCCCGAAGAAACTCTTTTGTTATTGAAACACATGAGCTATTATCAAATAACTTTAATTCAGTAGAAAAAATCCTGCTGCATTAAAATGAAACTCTATTGTGGCTGTTATACTTCTCATTAATATTGGTCTTGACAATATTCTTCACTTATTTACCCAGTCCTTGTTGGAGGTGGGATGAAGGGACAGAGCAAATTTATCATTAGCAAGCAGTCTGTTAAAAGATACCCTAGAAAAGCCATATAGATACATGTCTGAACGTTTAATTGAATTGTTACGTGTTACTGAAGAAATTACAGATTTCTTCTCAGTCTTGCCTGGAATTTCAATGAATCACTATTTCAACAGATTACCAATTCTAAAGAGTAACAAACCTTCATTACCAAAACCTATGAATGTGTTGTTTGCACATGTCATGTCTGAAGTTCCTTCCCATTTATCTTTTCCTTTTGTGCTCAACTCACAGAAGCAACTGAATCCTGGCAATGTTTTTGCCTGTCTCGTATTTCTGACAGTCAAAACTGAATAAGACACGCCTCATGTTGTGCTTCTTTCCCCCCTTTCTTTGTGAAATGTGTGCTTTTAGTGCAGCACATTTTATTTTCCCATCTGCATGGTTTGCTTGATGTGTACATGTCATAAAAGCAAATGTTATAAATGTATGGAGAAAACCACATTTAATTGTACAATCTGATTGTTTCATGATTTTAGGTCTGCTTATTTCAGTGAGAAGGTTGTAAGAGTGTTTTTGGCATTACTGTTCTGGTTTCATATTTGTTCATCTGCTCTTAATCTGCACATTTTGTCCGTGAGAATGATGTGAGAATGTATCTACATCCAATCATTTGATAAGACCTGTAGAATCTTCTTCCATTCCTACTTCTACTGCTGCGGGCCAGCATCCCTCCCTCCCTCCCTTCCTCCCTCCCTAAAATTTACCATTTTAAGAATTGTTGAGTGTACAGCTCAGTGGAATTAAGTACATTCACATGGCTGTGCAATTCCCTTATCATTTTTCACTTGGGTACTACAACAGCCTTCAAAATTCAGTCTTGCTTCTAATTTTGCTCCCATTCAGGAAGGAAATAGAAATCTTATCTCTGCCGACTGGTTTTCACTGTGTGCTAGGAGAAAAGGGGGAAATGAAGGGGGTATTCTTTGCCGTTTCTTTGGTGCCTCAGGCATCATAGTTAGCCCTTAATGTTTCTCTGTGAAGTCCCTCTTGCCTGGGAAGGTAATTATTCACAGGTCCCAGGGATGAGGACATAGCCATCTTTAGGTGGGCATTTTTCTGCCAATCACAGTCATTATTTTAAAAATAATACTATGATGCAATTTTTGAAAATGGGATGCAGGCAAAGCAGCGCAGAGGGCAAGGATCTGCGGCCCCTGTTCCATCCCTGGGGCAGGTCATTCCTTGCTCAGGACATCCCGGCCACAGTGATTGTTCTGTGAGCCTAGAAAATGGAAAGGCTCTTAAACCCAGTTGGCATTCAAGTGTCTAGCCACCAGGAGCACAAAAAGGTTTTTAGAGTACAAACTTGCGCTTTAAAATGTGCAGAAATCATTTCAAAAAATTAGGAGGCAAGACTCTTAGACAGTTAAACTTTGCACCGGTGCACACAAGCACAAAGAAGCCTGCCCAGCCTTGGCTGCACCGTGCAGCTGAAGTCATGTGGTCTGCGGTCTGCACTGTCTTGAGCCTGGAGGGGGGGAGGGGGGGGGCAGGATAGGTGCATCAAAAAGGAGGAGCCCATTGATGCAGGCTGCCTCAGGTTCCAGCCTGTGGCAGTGCGGTTTTGCATCACTAGATGTCAGTGTGCACTTTCGCAGCGGCCACCTTCTCGCCTCTGCAGGGGATGTCCCAGGCATCACACCCAGGGCCCTTCTGCAGGTCCTGGCAAACACAGGGCTATTCACAGAACCGAAATTTCACCAAATAGATGGTCTACGTACAGATTTGGACTTTGCAGAGTTATTTTAAAACACAGAAACCCCGAGCCACAGGCTGCTCTTTGGAATGCCACCACTTTCTCATCTCAGTGGTCGTCGCATTGGGAGGGCAGCCCGCAGGGCTTTTGGGGGCAGGTAATGGCAAGTCCCAGCTGGCACTGGGGTCTTTTAAAAGCAGTGTGTTACCTCACCTTCAGGAACCATGGCGGCCTATGCCACCATGGCTCAGAGTGGGGCAGGAAGCCAAGAAAAACTGTGTATGGTTAGCCACATAAGGATTGTATGGCCAGGCTTACTAGTTTTGTTTTGTTTTGTTTTTGAGGCAGTTTGTAATCTGGGGGCTTCTGAAATCTTAGAGAACAGTCCGTATATTAGTTTCCTGTGGCTGATGTAACTTATTACCACCTCCGTAGTTGCTTAAAACAACATACTTTTATTCTCTCACAGTTGTGGAGGTCAGAGATCCGAAATGGGTCTCACTGGGCTCAGTGGCAGCAGGGCTGTCTTCCTCGGGAGGTTCTAGGGAAGCGTGCATCTCATTGCTTGTCCTGGGCTCATGGCTTCCTTCCGTCTTCACAGCCAGCAATAGCTAACCGACTCCTTGTACTTCACCGCTCTGCCTCTCTCCCCTCCTTCTCTCACTTATAAGGGAATCTGTAGTTACATTGGGCCCACTCAGGTAACCCAGGACCATCTCCTTAGCTCAAGATCCTTAATTTATCTCTGCGAAGCCCCTCTTTCCTTGGAAGGTAACTTATTTATTCACATGTTCCAGGGATGAGGACATAGCATCCTTAGGCGGGCATTTTTCTGCCTATCACAGTCATTATTTCAAAAATAATAATATGATGTGATTTTTGAAGTAATGAACTTTTTAATAGGCCAGTTCAGCATGAAAGAAAGCTGCTGTTGGTACAGTAGACTGTGTCAGAAAGTAACAAGACCTAAATTTCCTTTGCTCATGGAATGTTAACAATGAAGAAAAAGAAATTTGCCATACCCAGCAGGAGTATTTGGTTGCCCTGCAACGTTGCACAGCCCTAACTCTGCCGCCCCTGGTGCCTCCCCATTTTCAGGATGTCGACCCTGGGGACAGTGAACACATAGACAGAATGGGAGATGTGGCTCCAGCACAGAGAAGCATTGTGCAAAATGCAGGCCTGGGCTCCGAGGAACCTGTTTAGACCTCCATGCAAATTCGACATTGCATCCACGCCTTTAGCCAACAGAACTTAACCCGTGCCCTGCCACACCCAATGGCTGGTTTCATTCTGCCCTGTAAAGCTGAATTCATCTCCCCACTCCTCAAGCTTGAACTTTCCTACCTCGTGCTACAGGGACTAGGAAGCTTACCTGTCACCCTGGGTGTTTCTTCTCAGCCAGTGACATCCAATTGGTCTCCAAGACCTGTGGAGGCTGCTCTCTCTTTTAAAATGTATTTTTATTGATTTCAGAGAGGAAGGGAGGGTGGAGAGAGAGAGAGAGATCAATGATGAGAGAATCATTGGT